GCCCTCGCCCCCCGCAGCTGAAGCTCAGGTGAACAGGGCTCCACACGGCGCTAAATTCCCTGCTTGAAACCAGTATTTCACCTCTAAATGTTCTTCTGGCTACTGAAAACGAACTCCAGAGAGTCAATATTTTCTAAATCTATAAACTAAGCCCTATTGCCATCCTTCAGTTCAGTTTGCTTCTGAACACTTTCCTCCCCGCCCCACCATGAGAGTAAAAACACCCATAAAGAGATTTTGGAGTTTCTTTAATTTAAAGATTCTATTACAGAAATTCTTAAGCAAGGAATCCTTATACGGATTAACTCTTGGCATAATAACTTGCCAAGATACAGTGTAGCTGCAGGGGCTCTATGTGAACCTTCATATAAGTTGCTTTCTTACATACACGCTTGCTGAACAACAAAGATTTATCAGTGTGAGAGGAAACAGTGGTATTTCAACAGTCTTTCTACCCATGTGTCCTGGTTTACCCGAATTAGAAATGCACCATATTAAAATTGTAAAACACTTATTATACAGAAAGTTGCTACAGATGAGTTTTCTGTAGATTGCCACTGGTGAAACATTAAAATGAAAACTGAGGAGTGTTGGTTATGTAGAATGGTCTCTCTTTTACTGGCAGGTCAAATATACTAGAAACATACAAATATTTTTGACAATCTAATTCCAGATGAACTCAAAACACTGAAGTAACATATACAGGCTAAGAGAATTCAATATTGTTCCAAGGCACTTACTGAATCTCCATGACTAGATGAAAACCAGAACAAATTAGGTCTGACAATTAAACAGTATATCATATAAAAATAACCTTTTGCTTACAATTTACAAAATGTATTACAATCTTTATCTCTGCTAACCTGTAATTCTGGCTGTGTGTGTCCAGCAATTTTTGTAAAAAACCCCAGAAACTATTTTCTAAAACCTCAGGGCAAATAATTTACAAATAAGGTACACAAAAATTTAGATCATGCAGAGATTTCTTACATCTTCTGTTAATATTTTATGATTGCAACTTTATCAAATTATATACTTACTTGCCCTGTACATATAGAAAATAATGCATACATGGTAATCAAACGTTAGCAAAAAGTAGTCCATAAACACAATCTGTCAAAAGTATCACTATATTAACATATGTCTACAAGCAGCGTGTAACAGGGTTAGAAGACATTAAGGCAATAATACTTGAAGTTACAAAATCACTCATATGTAATACTCCCTCCTACGTGTATAAGGCAGGTAGATGGCCCAGCGGGAAGCCACGTGGGACACTGGGATCCTCTGCTGTGGAGGCTGTGGAAGCTCTGCCGCGGGATGCCCGGAGCAGGGAGCCGCTCTGAGCGGCAGCGACGCTGCGCAGGGGCAGCTGCCCCAAAGAGTGGAAAACTGTGGGTCGAATTGTCAGTGGCACTTGAGTTTTCCAGTATAATTTATTGAGGGAACGTCCATTGGTTCTGGGATCATGTCCATTCTGAAGGCGGCTCTCTTGGTCCTCTTGGCTTTGCACAGCGGTTACCAAAACCTAATGAAACAAAAATAGTTACTATTTTGGTCAACTTAGACGATGCGATCTCTCAAAAACTGGCAACTGTCAAAAGAATCACCAAGACGTTCCAGCTCTAACATAAGAGGTTCATTTCCAGGGCTAGGAAACTACTCTGTAGTATTAAGAATTCTCAAGGCAATGTGGCCACAGGAAATACTAACATGAAGAATTCGGATATGCTTATTTTTGTTGTTTAAATATCACTTGAAAGGTACTTTTCAATAAATACAATGTTAAACACTTATTATTAGGTTATTTTTTATTGATTTGTCCTTCTCCATATAACAAAGAAATCGCCCAAGCTCTTATTTCCCAAAGTTATCTGAAGTTACCACCTGCAGCGATCCCACCCTAACCGCCCCCCTCTTTGTTTCAAGGACGGGAATGGCAGTGCCGGGATCGCCCGCTCGGGCCGTGACTCTTCCCGGAGATGCGGAACGGCCAGGGCAGACACTTGGCTGGGTTCTGCCCTCCACAGCTTGGGGGGCTGGAGCAGTAGCAGCTTCCAGAATTCTACTGATAAAGAAGCTGTGGTTTAAATTACCCCATGGTGAATTCTGAATGAGCTGTAATTACCAATATCTGTTATTTCTGCAGGAAATTCTGAAATGTGGCCTCTTGTATCAGTGGAAGCGGAAAAAGAAATCTGAGGTAAAACAGCAGTTGGTGTTTTGTTGCTTATTTCAGGAGGATCTGAAAAACAAACACATGCATCTCCATGTAAAAAACACCAGTCACACCAAACGCTGGCTAAATGGATGTTAAGGAGAGCTCAGCCCAACAAACAACTTGCACAAAGTAGCACTTACAAAGAAGTTTGAGAGCAATTTTACTCGTTTTTGATAACACTTCAACATTTTTAATGATGCAGCTGCTCAGCAAAGACAGAGACAAGTTCCCATTTGCCACATATTGGACTTTTTAAATAAGCTTGAAAGGATTCTTAAAATCACAAGTAGTTTCTATTTCTAGCAGGAGTTGACAGTTCCTTTTAATAAAACAGGACAAATACATCTGCTCATGCTCTTTCTCAACTTAATTAGGTGCCTAAGAACACATGATGAATGGTATTTTGCATTACTTTGCACTGAGAAGTATTATTATATAGATTAGAACTCAATATTTTCAATCTTAATTTTAGCATACCAAAGATTTTTCTTTAACATAATTTTTAAATTAGATGTCTTTGGCATTGAAAAATGAAGCTTCACAAAGAGCATCTTTTCAGAAATTATATTGTTTTGAAAACATCCTTAAACATACTTAAGAACTACGGGTGAATTTATACACATTTTTACTCAGAGAAAAATGTATTTTTAAATACAAGATGAACTTATTGCAAGATTACCACATCTTTTAAAGATTTACCAATCAAAGTATCCTGGGCTGGGAGTAGCTTCTGAAGTAATCACATGTGTATACATTTATCTCAAGATTAGACAATAAAATATTCATGAATTTCTAGAAAAGCTCCCCTGTCAATTTCTATCTTCTATTCAAAATATTCCAATCAAAACACTATGGTACTTGAACTTTCTACTATTAAGGGATTGCTGACAGCAGATTAAAAAAACACTGGTTTTCATTAAAAGGATATATATACATATATATATATGGGTGTGTGTCACTTACCAGGTAGTACAGGTGAAGCTGTCTTCAAACCCTGTTAAAAAAAAAATATTTAAAATAGTTCTATGAAATGCTTCCAAAATACTCAAAGAACACCAGAAACTTAAGATGACAAAAATCATCTTCAAAAAAATAGAAAACATTTTGGGAAATTTCTATTTACCTTCTATTAGCCTTTATGACTTGCCAAAACGATGAGGCAGTAGTTTACATAAAATTTACTATCAGAACCTTTAATTAAAATTTGATTAAAATGTCATTCATGACACATTATGGATCTGCAAATTTAAGCAGAGTTTACCAGAATTTAAGCAGTTAAGTTTACCTCTGATACTACATTATATTCCTTGAAAATCAAAATCTACCTTTTTTGCCAACTTAGTATTTTAATATTGAAAAAGATGGAACTCTAAGGAGCCTTTATGAAGTTTTACCACCTGTTTATGGCTTTGAGCTACAAAAAGCAGACTGACAGGTGAAATGTGAAACCCGATGGGCTAAAGAAGATTATTTTATTTTAAAATAAACGTGGGTATGAGAGAGAACCTTGAAGCAGGAAGGAATAGGTTGCGCAGAGCCTGTGTTTTTAAGAGCCAGCTGCCCGGCTCCATCGCTGACGCAGCTTCGAGCAGGCCGGACGAGCCACCCTCCCAGTTCTTTGTAGCCTGAATTATCCCCTGATCTTAGTTCAAACTGTTAAAGGCAGAGCTTGTGCTCTGTAAAAAGCGGACACGTGCTGCTTTTATCAACACCGTAGTTTGAGCTGCACGGAGACGACTGGAGGCACTTACTGCAGGGGCTGCCCGCCCGGGGAGCTGCTGCTCGTGCAGGCCGCTCCGCTCGCACTGCGCCGCCGTCACCGGCCTCGCCGCCGGGGCCGCTGCAAAGGGGGAAATCAAAGGCAACATCTCAGTGCTTGCCGCGATGGCGCTTCTCAACCGCATTAGAAATGGGGAATAAAGCAATTTGGTATTAACACAGAACTTGATTTCTTGCCTTCTCACAGAAGAGAAGTCCAAGAAGCATTATGGCCTTTTGACAGTACTATTTCCAAAGAAAGGACTGCTGTGGCTTTAAGCTCTCCAGGTTCACCATTACCATGTGAAGTATGTACAATGCTTCAAGATTTTTTCGTGCTGATTATTATTTATAGGGATTATCTTGTCTGGCCAAAATTTTTCGGAAGTTTCATACAATGACATTAAATCAAAAGCTTCAGCAAATATCTATGCGATACTTGTGAAGATACCAAATAGCAGCAACTTGATCTTCGTTTTCATTCATCATCCTTAACACTCTGCCATTCCTGTTTGATAGTGAAACATGACTAAAAAGCACCATGATGATACCTAGGTGTCAGTTTTCCTCCTTGAACCTCCCTTTGGGGCTCAGGTAACAGTGCCTGCTCACTGCTGTGAAACACACGCCACAGTTTTCCCTCCTCACTCATTTTTCATTCTGGATTTTTTTTTCCTGCTCCCTGAGTGGGCACAGTGAGGATATTACCCAAAATCGTCAGGAACCCCCTTAACTGGAAATACTTTCTCCTTTCTCTACTGTTCACATTGAAAAAAAAAAAATCTTCAACAAAATCAAGATTAAAGCTTCTAATATACTAAAAAAGCTTTGTCCTTTCTTGGAAGCAGAAAAATAACTTGACTATATATATTCCAGGGCTTGTAAAAGTTCTTAACCAGCTTCAAAGTAAGCTGTCAAACATGCTAGATTTTGTTCAACATCTCGATTTGCTCCAACACCTACAACAGAAGCGCTTGAATGCAATACTGAAATGCAATTCACATCTTATTCCCAGCTATCACACAACTTAAAGAAACAACTCACTGTGTTCAGTTGCTAATACAAAAGATTCTGGCGTTCTTTCTGGCAGCGGAGGAGAGGAATCTTCACTAGTATCAGCATCTAAATCAAATATCATATTTATATTGATTAAAAACACAGGTTATTTTCCTAAATTTTTAAAAGTTAATTTTTTGATATGTGAGATCTTGCTAAAGGTGATACGAAGTTTAGGGCAAATGGAGAATAGGAGTGGCTATAGGAATATTGTATTTTACCACACTAACGCTTTGGGGGGAAGCCGCGAAGCTCCTGCTTCCAGACGAGAAGGCAGCTGGTTGCAGCATGTCCCCAGGCCCCTGTTGTGCTGAGGACAGGGCCCTGTTTGCAACAAGCAACAGACTCTTGTGCTGTTTGCAAGTGGCTCCAGCTGTACCTCCCCCGAGCCCTTAGTGTGGCACAGTGCAGGACATTAAGGAACCTGCTACTCGGGAGGGCGATGGGTGATGTTTTGTCTTGGGGATGCTTCACACGAGCAGCTTCCTTAAAGCCCCCACTCCACCCAGGATTCGTGGGAAGCAGAAGTGTTGCAAGCAGCGAAGCCAAGCGGAGCGCTGTGAGGGCCAACGTGCCAACAGCAGCTACAGGCACT